GGCAGTTATTCTCTCAATAATTTACGCAGTTTTTTTTTTATACTTTTGTGGTTCCATCATTTCCATGGATATATTAATGGGATAGCCGAACTAACCACCTTATGTCATCTGCATGGCAAGAGATCGGATTTGTTGGATTCCACCAGGGGCTGAACTTGGTTGTTGAGGATCATAGGGCAGGATCAGGTTCACGAGAAGCTCTTGAAGAGCAGGTACCGCATTAGTGCTAATATTGTATACAATAAAAGTAGAGGAGATTCTGTACTGTTAAAATATTAAAAACAAAAAAATTATTTGTATTTGAAATAAAAATAAATACAACGAACAGTATTTTCGTTTATTTATTCATTTAATTTTACTATTCTTTTGTACTTGTATCCTTTTTTACCAATATACAACACACATGCATGTTATCTGCATAAAACTACCTTGTAATTAAAATAAAAGCAACATTTACACAGTATTTTATAATTATTATTATTACACTTATCTGTGTAAAAATTGTTTTTAAACATTTGAAGTACTATTAACTTTTCATATCTCATTTTCAGCCTTCAAAGCAAATACTCCTGAAACAAAAATTGTACATTACATTTTAAAATTTTTCATGTGGTTAATGTACTACCAATTCATTTTACCTAATATAAGAAAAAAAAAAAAGTATTACACGGACCGGGTAGGGAGAAAAATTAGTTTCCACTAAGTCAGTTATGACTTCAGTTAACTCACAAACTATCTATAGGCAATATAAATCAATTTACACTAAGAGTATTCGACTTAATTTCTTCAAAGAAAACATTCTGATAAAAAAAAGAAGGATAACATTAGAAATGCACCGGCATCTTTTCAATACTTTTTAATTGCTATTTGTACTATTATTACTGACCTGTTATTTCATTTGTTCAGTTTCCACTTGTTAATTTTGCCGATTATTTTCTTCTCTTTACTTTTGATCTTCCCCTCTTCCTTTTATTTTCTTTTTTAGTTTTCGTAGTTTTAGGTGCAGGTACAGTGCCAGGCCTCTTGGGTACCAAAAGGTGCTGCTCTACTAGATCAGCTAGCTTTCCTTGTTCTGCTAACATAGATAAAAAGGTGCAAATAAAATCGTCGTAATTGTGCGTTCTTCTACAGTCATCGACCTGAAAAGAAAAAAAAAATCAAAAAAAGAATAATTAAGTATTGAAAATTTTTTAATGCATCAGATTCATTCTTACATATTATACTACTTGTGTTTATAAAATTTCTTAATGGTATTAAAACGATAAGAAACTTAACGCCTTACTTGATATTTGGTTTGTTTGTCGTTTTCGTCTTTGAGATTAATTTCGCAAATGCAGATCTCATTTTCCAAATTCCTCAAGAGAGCTAAGAGATCTTGAGGAGCAAATGTGTGCGGCTCGAGGAGTTCGGGGCTCTTTTTCTCTGCAACGACTGTATCGCCATCGCTAGTTTTCACTCTTGCATGTCCTGTATTTAATAGAGTTTTCTTTTGGCCACCAATAGGATTTTCTGTACTAAGTCGCTTCCCATTTGTATTAGAAACTGTAAAACAAAATACTCAATATTTAAAAGTATTACGAAGCATTAGTTATTTTATCCTAGAACAATAATCCTGTTTTCGGAAAATACTACCAACTAATTTTAAAATCATCATGATACACTTGTAATGCAAAGTGCTTTAAGTTTATTTATTTGCACAAGATTCTATCAGCCAAAAAGAGGATCTAAACGCTACATTAAGTAGTTTTTTAGTGCGATCATATTATGTTTATTTATTCCTTATAACTTTTTTTTCATTGATAAATAAATAAAATAAATTTAACAAAAAACATGTTTCATACCATTTTTTGAAGCATTACCGCTCTCTTTCTCCCTCTCTTCGTTTGCGACCCTTATTACTACAAACCTCTTGTAATCTTTTGATATAGGACTGTTTTGAGCCGCTGTAGCCCAATTCCACGCTTGAGTGGGAGAATTAAAAGCCGATCCGACTTCTGACGACGTTTCAGTGCTCGAAGTGCTTGGGGCAGGTGACGTTTGTATAGTTAATGGAGTTGAATAATCCAATGGACATAACATCACTTTATCTTTTATTTTTGGACCAATTTCTTGCTTTATTTCTTCAACGGGTTTCGATTCAGAAACAGAAACACTGACACTACAGTCAGCTGTCGATGTTATTACAACAGAAGTCGATGTAGAAGCAACCTCAGAAGAGATTACTAAAAGAAAAAGAGGAAGCTATAGCATTTATTCTGTATGGATAGTTAAGAGCCTTTATAAAAATTGGTGTACCTACCTCAAATTATAAAACTATCAAAACAAGAAATAATTAAAACTACCTGGCCCATTCTGTTCCTTTGTTGTGTCTTCATATGAAGCAACTATCTTCATTAAATCTGTTTTTACTTCTTCTCCTTCTACTGAAGGGGATTCTTTCTTTGCCTTCTCTTCTACACTATCCTTCTCCACTTTTGTCTCTGAATGTTTGATTTTCATCAGATGTTGCAGTGCATCCAAAACTATTTGTCTGTTTGTCTTTAACATTTTTAATTTATGTGTTATGGCCAAACGTCTGTCTGGCACAACAGCCATCAAATTGAATCTTATATCACACTGTTCTCCTGCAGCAATACCTAATCTATCACTCATCACACTTCTAAACTTCTCTGTCCAATCACCAAATTCAGTCCATGGACCATGGTCAATAGGAAAAGGTTTAAGACCGTCAAGTTCAAAAAGTCTACCATTAATAGGTACAAAACTAACAAAATGAAATGCTTCTCCTGTAAATCTTCCAGTTGAAACACCACTTCCTACAAAAATCAGTAACAACATTGCATAAAATATCCAAAACTATCTACAATTTTATAATCAAATAAAAGAGAACATGAAAACAGGAGAAATCACACTTAACCCAGACACGCAAGCTTATTAAAGAAAAAGAATTAAGAGAACATACCTACCTTTATCCAGCCTTCGTTTAGCTTGAGGCATTGCATGTGAATTATGTGCACAAGCAAGTTCAGGAGTATTTCCTATTGCCCAACCTTTATTATCCGGTGCCATACCTTGTGTGTGAGCTTTGAGCCTACTTAATGTTTCACCTAAATGAATGTTAGGACAGTTCAACAAAATAGAGATCAATGCATGAGTAGCACAACTATTAGGAACCATTTGCTGAGCAAAAAAGATGTTGTTTACAATTTCCTCATCTTTGACAAACACTTCCGTCTGTTCCACCACCTTCCGTCGAGATCTTCGTTCCTCCATCCATCGAAAAAGAAAAATAAAACCATAAACGGGACTGTCCAAAGGTTTGTTTAAATCATAAATTTCTTCAACTTGAACACCTTTCACACCAAAGTCTTCTAACAAAAGAGTGAATAAACCCGGATCGCTTTCCAATTCAAGCCATCCTTCCGTTAACTCTTTAATATCCACAGGCATCGTATTATCTATTTCATATTGTACTAACTCAAAAAATACTGTTAAATTCTTTAGACTATACTTTTATCAAACTATTTGAAACACAACTACTGACACTTATTTTATGGGTTATTTCTATTATCTGTGGGTTTTTTTATCAACCTGGTCCATAGAAAACGTCATAGATAAGTAGGGTATGGTCATTGGTCTTCAGTTGAAACGTCAAAAATTAAAAACTTCAAAGAGCATAGATTTCAAAAGCTACTCATCTACTGCCAAAAGTTCATCACAGAAACGTTCACCTACACCAATCGAATTATGAAACAATATTAACTTTAAAATAGATCAGAGCATAACAAGCTCGCACAAAATAAGAAAACTTTTTACTGAACAACTTCTAGTATATTCATTTAAAAAAATCTATATTAAGATTATTAATAACGACAAAAAATAAAGTAACTTACTTGCCATGACTAATAAAATAATAACCAAAACAGCTTATACCAAAAATTCAAGTTTGATTATACCAAGAATAAATTCGTTATAATTTGATTTTTTTGTGGTATCTTAAATACAAGCTAGATAAGTAACTAAAAAAGTACCTTCATAAAGAAAATTCCAACTAGGGCGTCTAAATCAATTTTATTTACAATACCGATATTTATAAATTAAACAACATACGACTTAAAATTTTTTAAAATGCAAACAGGAACAAGCTGATAAATGATATAGAACGAATTCGAATTGTAAATGAGCGGTAAAACTTAAAAGATATGAATTGTATATCAGTAATTACAGTAATATAATATTTCGGCGTTCCAAGGTAAAAGGTAGAAACCGGTAGAAAAAAAGGTCCAACGAAAATGGCAGGCAATATAACAAAAATAAAATTTACAAGATCATATTCTCGGGTTCCTCCAGGCATTCGGTAAAGGCCTGCATCCACTCCGCTGCTACGGCTCCATCTACTGTACGATGATCGCAACTTGCCGTCGCATGCATAATTTTGGCAACTTTGAATCTAAGTTTTTAAAATTAAAATTAAATTTTAATGCAAAATAAAATAAAAAAAGAACAATTTTATAAGTCCAATTTAAGTGACCATAATTTACAGAATCAACAGAAAAACCAAAATATATATTCTGTTAAATTTTCATTAAGTTTAAACTCATGTAATAGCAAATTGTTATCAAAAATAGTGTAATTTACAATATATTACAGTATCAGTGCTATTACTTGACGTTTTTTTTCTCAATTTCAATGATTTAAAAACATGCCAGTTTTATTATCAAAAACAACGTAAACATTAAATAGTTTGATTAACCCAGTAATATAGTCAATTTAGTAAAATTTTAAGTATTTATATCAAATATACTTTTTAACCAGCAAAATATCATAAATGAAAGTTCAAAGTTTTCGTTGTTTATAAAGAAATTCCTGACTTTTTTGACCTGATCAGTGATGCTATTTTTCCTGATCATTTTCTTCATACCAAAATTGAAAACAATTTTAATGTACAGTATGTCACAGTAAGACCCTCTAGTATTAAATCTCTCGAATTTTAAAAATCCGAATAAGTAGTAGATTTAAGTATCAAACTAATAGACTACTATTTATTGTTTTTCACAGATTAAAATTTCATACCAAGGCGATTATTATATTTTCTCACTTACAACGAATTTACGTAAATTCCCTGACTATTCAAAATTTGTATTTTAAACTTGGTTTTAATGATTGTTCATTTCATCAAATTAGGTAGTAGGGCTAATCGTCAATCTAGGAATTTATGAACGTATGTGTGAAAAAAAACTCACCCTTTCTCTGATTTATCGGGGACTAGCGTATCATTAGTTGCTCCGATAGCGATAATGATACTATGTGGGGGGTTAATGACAGCGGTAAAATGCGTTACACCCATCATCCCTAAATTAGAAACGGTAATGGTACCACCTTGAAATTCGTGAGGTTGCAATTTGCCATCTCTTGCCTTTGCTGCAAGTTCCTTCATTTCTGAACTAATCTGGATAACACCTTTGTCGTTTACCTCTTTTACGATAGGAGTAAGGAGGCCTTTAGGCGTTGCAACTGCTACAGCCACGTCAACGTTTTTATACCTTAAAAAATATATATTAATAGTAATTAAGATTCCATTGATTTTCAGAATATATATAATGGAAGTAATCAATGTAATGTAAGAATGTGAAATATGTTTTTAAAAATAACTGCAATACATATTATTATTGCATCGCAATAGGTTACATTTTGGTTAATAGGAAATTTAACTTTGCCTGTATAAGGGTAAATTTAAAAAGAGGACGAAGTCTTTTGTTTCGTTTCTTCGTCACAAAAAGGGAAGTAGGACGAAGCGAGGGCCGCGAAATTTTTAGTCCTTAATCAATTGACTTTTCAATGAATCAATTATGGGTTCCAGATATAAAATCCTATTAGCTATATTTTGTAGCGGTGTATGTTGTTCTTTTAATACACTTTTTATTTTGGAGAAGTGTGCTTGTGCTAAACTCGTTTTACGAAATTTACCTGATTCACGTTAGCATATCTAGATATTTCTAATTATAATAAAAATTTAACTAGTTGTAATAATAATTTAACTTACTGTCTAATTACGTCGCCCAACCAGGATGAATTCGCTTCTGGAACGCGTTTAGAGGCGGCTGCTGTTGCCTTGATGATGAAATCATTCACGCTCACCTTAACTCCCTTTTTCTCGTATTTTTTGTTGACGCGCTCTCGGAATTTAAGCAATTTGTCCACGTTAATGGCCATCGTCACGTAATAGTGTGGTATTTGAACCTTGGATTCAGTAAGTCGCTTTGCTATTACTGCACGCATGTTGGTGACGGGAATGTCGACATGAGCAGCACCTGGAGCTGGAGTGGGTGCCTTCGGGGGTGCACCTGGTGAGGATGGTGGTGGAGCTGGTGCACCTGCGGATGCGGCAGCTAATTTGTCAAGATCCTTAGACGTAATAGAGCCGAAAAGGCCTGAACCTGACGATTGGGAATGATAATGTGTTACACTATTATTATCCCTTTTAATATAGGAACTGACGGAAAAAAGGTGGGATGTAAATAATTACGTCGGATCAAGTTAGGTTGGATTATAAAATTGTAATGCTCTTACAAGTTAGCGTTCATAAAAAAGAACATCAAAGTAAAAAATTTTAGGAACTTTTTTAACACTAAAGATTCTACGCGACTTTTGGAAAAAAATAAATTAAAAAAACTAACTGTAAACAGATAAAATATGTAACTAAATATTTCCTTTTCATTTTTCCTTGTCCTCATAATATTGATATTTTTATAGCAACAGTCTTAAGTGAAGTCTCAACATTATCGTAAGCCCGAAATTTATGATGCTATTAAACAACAAAAAATAAGAAATGAATACCTTTTCCTTGTAACCTAATATTCTTCTTTTCGGCAAGTCCCTTGGCCATAGGGCTGACTAGCACTCTTCCCCCTTGTGGAGGTGTATCGGACGCTGCAGCAGAAGCAGCAGCAGGAGCCTGAGGAGCCGCAGCTGCGGGTTTAGGAGCTGGTGCAGATGGGGCGGGCGCAGCTGCGGCAGGAGATGGAGAGCTATCATCTTTAAAATCTTTGAATTTTGCAACATCTTCTTCTTTTTCAACAATGATACAAACCAGTTTTCCAATTGGTATATTTTTGACTCCTGCAGGAACCAAAATCTTAGCCAAATATCCTTCTTCGGGTGTTTCAAAACCCATGGTTGCCTTTCATAAAAAACGTTAATTTTGAAATCATCATCATATCTATGTATTATTTCTGTAACGCAACATATATTCTTTGCAACTTCTACTAAACCATGAAACTATGCATTTATAAATTCAGTTTCATTTTGTTATATTCAAATTATCGCGTTTAACTTACTTTAAATATTTTTTTAAACATATACATATACATACAAGAACATATTTTGCATGCATTTTGAATCGCAGTTTTGTGTACCAAACAAAGTTACATGCATTTAATTTTTTCTTATTTAAAATGGCAGGTATGATTATTTTTACAAGAATATATATAGTATGTCATGAACAGTTCCAATCAAATGCAAACTTCCACGTTTATTATGCAATATAGACAGCAGGTTTTTTCCAGAATTTAATGGAGGTCACTGGGACAGTTAAGAGGGTTGTCTGTAGCATACCTATCTATTTAAGAAATTAATATTTTTTCATAGGTACAGGAAAGTTTTTAATAAGTACTTTGTTCTGCTTTCCTACCCTTCCTGTTTTCAAAATAAGGGTATAAATTAGGTACCCATTGATACTATTATATAATAATATTTTAATATATTATATAAAATTAACTACTATGGAGTAGGGGTGTTGGAACTGTTTTTTGTTCTAAATAGGGTAATAGTCCAAGAAAGGTTAGGCACTTCTGGCATAAACAGGCAAATTTTATCAACAAAAAATAAGCCAGTCAATCTATGAAGCTAATGAAACAACAAATTACTTAATTTACCTTATCAGTCTCAATTTCAGCCAATAGATCGCCCTCGTTAAGTTTATCCCCTTCTTTTTTTTCCCAGCTTATAATCGTACCTGTCTCCATAGTTGGCGACAAAGCAGGAAGGGGTACTTTTATATGTGGTGGGTAACTGCTGTAATTTCGTACTGTTTGAAAATTCCATTTTGCTGGTTTAGCTTGATTAAAAGCAGTTACTTCTTTTCTAGAAAATATAACCCTTTATAGTCAGATAGAATAAAATGAGGTAGTATACATAGCTAACATTCTAAAGCTATATAAACAAACAATTAACGTTAGTTAATTACAACGGTAGTTGCTAAAAATAAGTTACTAATAGCTTTAATGTAAAAATTTGGTAATTTTCTACAGGAATGTAAGGTTAGGTTGGAAAGGATAACCTAAAACAATAAAAGGGAAAAGGTTACGTAAATTCTTAATTTCATTTTATTTTTAAAAATACCTGTTTAATAATTCTTTATTAGAACAGCAACCGGCAGAAATAGAACGAAGAGCAGTCCTTGACACTGATTTTCTTATTGTTTGTTTAATTAAACTGTTTCGTGCTATCGTTCTACAAAACATCTTACTTCTTAAATCAAACTAATATTTTTAATTTTTAAATTACTTATAATTCACTGAACGTTGAAGATATTTTATAAATTAGAAAAAATACCGAGGGCGATTTATTGGTGTAGAAGAGCAAAGTTAACACACAACCAAACACGCAACCTAGGTCATTTAAAAGACTTTACTTTGAACCATTTGACTGATAGGAATTTCAGCACATACAAGTATTACGTCAAAATGTCAAATTTGTATGTTATCAAACCGCGTGATTCTTTCATTATTAATAGTGTGTGAATAAAATTAATCCTAAAATTGAAAATTAAAAATTTGCTTCAAAATTTAAAAAAAAACAATAGAGAGAACCTGATATGATTTATAAACGATTTTGAATGTAAATGTATAATAATAATAATAAAAATATAAAATCTTCATACAATTTATAAACCACAAATCAAACTTTATAAATACTTAAGACTTAAGAATTCTACTATTTTTAAAACTGGTAAGCTCCCGCGCTAAAGGATCGTTTATACGATCGCTGACGTCATCTACAACAGAATCAGTTTGAATCTGTTATAAATATAGAATTAATGTATTAATTTACAGCGTCATTGGTAAATAAGAAGATATGAAGAACAACGTTTTCTTATTATTACAGTTGCTCGTTTTCCACCATCCAAATTGTACAGGTATAAATGTGTGAATGTCACTTAAAAGTTACAACAAATCCTACATCTTAAATCATAGATAAGATAATCAAAATAACTGCTATAAGACTACTTCGCTATCTCTGCTACTGATGACATGACCGGTTGAAGTGACAGAACAAATGATTTTGACAATCATATGTTAATAGTAAATAAAATAAAGAAACATAGGGAAGTAACTTATTACAATTTTTTGAAATTTATTAATTACACAATGTGACACACTTGTTCTAAGTACCATGAAGAAATTGGTTGGGAACAAATTTTATGTCTCCGTCAGCTACTTATTATTGATTGCTGTTAACATTCGGCTTAAATAGTTCCTTAAAAATAGAGTTCTTCAATGCGTTCTTCAGTAAGTTACATCCTTTCGAGTACCACAACTGAGCCTAACATGTCTCATCCAGATTATGAACAACTAGCTCATGATCATGCAGCCCTTTTGGTTCTAGTAAGGCAGATAGGATCACAGTTGAAAAATAAAATGTTCAACAAGTTTTACGATCGTATATCTCGCCTAAACTCTGTCAATATAACTGATTCTGTGGGTCAAGTTAGAAACATATACATTCGATATGTTAAAGAACATCCTGTGGAGAATAACCTTTGGGGTGATTTTCAAACTCATAGGAGACTGTTAGGGCTTGTAACATTTGGAAAATATGATTCACAGCAAGAGCTTAATGATATTTGTAGAGTTCATGAACAACTAAAAGTTAAATATATTACAACCCTTTTTGATTCTCGTTGTATTTTATTTGGACCAAGCAGTGACAGTCCCACAGAAGAAACTACATCTAGTGATGCAACTAGTTCAATTAGTAGTTCTACAGATGCACATTCTATTAAAACAACTGAAAAAGATTTAGAAAAGAAAGAGTTATATTTTGAAGAAAATGATAAAGAAGTTTTTACAACTCCATCAAATTTCAAGACTCGTGCTCTGTTTTACAGTGAAACAGATCCATGTGCTGATCTAGAAGCGCATTTGACCGATTTTTTGAATTCTCTTTTCTGGGTTCTCGAATCTAAACGTTTGGAGCGTTCTAGAGAAAAGTTAGAACGTGTTTCGCTATTGCTTGCCCCTTTTGAAAAGAAAGATTTTGTTGGACTTGACATGGAATCACGAAACAACAAAAGACGTTGTACTGGACGGTCAACAAAACATTTAGGAGATTTGTGTTTACAAGCAGGTCTAATAACAGAAGCCTTAACGCATTATCATAATGCAGCAGAAACACTTAAATCTGTAAATGACTGGTTGTGGCTTGGAGCAGCTTATGAAGGGCTATGTACTGCTACGGCTTTAGTTCTGTATCCTAACATATACAGAAATGCCCCTTTACACCGTAATTCGAGTTTGCAAGAAGGCTCTCCCAAGAGATCAAATTCAATAACTACCCCTATATTGGATATAGTAAAAAAGGAGGTACCCAATACTTTACCACCAGAAGAAATCTCAAAAAAATATCGAGAGGCAATTGTTCACTACAGTAAATATCAAAATGCCGGTAAGAAAACTAAAATTATCATTTGACCTTTTGCCGTCCTTTGTTGTCCAAAGTTAGGTTAAGTTATGACCACTTTCTTTTTGGAAACATCAAGTACCTCATCTATTTAAGGCTCACTTATTTATTTTTATGTTTCTTTGTAAAGTTAAATTTTAATTGGTACGTTTTAGATAAAAATAATGTGCGTCATTATGATAACCTATTCATATATCAGTTAAGTTATTCCACGTGGATTCATTTCTAAATTAAGATCATTTTTATTTACATAAAATCTAACTATGAGATGACGATAAGTATCCAAGCATACAGGTTTTAAAATAAATGAAACATGACTGAACATGACGTTATACTACGATGAGTAATATTTGTGTAACATAGATGTCTTCTGTCTTTTATTTCAAAATTTTGTTAGATCTAGTTGAGTGTATTTCCATGATGTGGCGCTATACTACTTGTATGCGTGAAAAATAAAATGATGATATCATGGCAAGAGTTGACCAGCCGTTTTCAATTTAAGATCATACTTCACAGGATCATTTCTGTAGTTGATCTTCGAATACTCTCAACTCAAAAGTTGAGTCGCTGTAACCACGAGGATGTGACATAGTTCCTTTTCCTGAGCGTGAGACTTGTGTTTTTGAATCTTTGTGATTTAAAAATACACACGATGATCGTTCACCCTCGAATTTCTATTTGAGGGGTTGGAAGAGGAGCATTCTGAGTGGTTACAATTTTACGATAATTAAAAACTAGTAATTGTTTGGAGTTAAGTAAGCTATACATAGCATCCCATTTACCAATAATTCCTTTGTCATTTGTTTTTGTCCTTATTTTTCTATTTTTAAATAGTTACCTTCCTCATTCGATAACACTATATTTACATTTATAAAAAAGTTTATAACAAAGTAGAAAAGGATAAGCAAATAAAAAACTAAGGAATAGATCTTTAAAGAAAATGTGTATGAACAGATAAATTTGTATTTTTTTTCTGTAGGAATAATAGAGACAGAGGCTTGCTTCAAAGCAGCCCGGATATCAGTAGAACAAAATCATCCACTGCAAGCAGCCAGTTTCCTTCAAAATGTGGTTTTTATAAATCTAACTCTTTCTGAACAGGAGAGGATTCAACGTTTCGAAACACTATCTGATTTATATATGCAAATAGGGTTTATGAGAAAAGCATCTTTTTGTCAAAGGCTGGCAGCCACACGATACGTTTCAGCTCAAAATCCAACCCCCAATTGGAGCCAATGCTATAACTTGATGTTGCAAAGTTTTAGGGGGCACAAGATAAGTTTGGATCCTACTGAAATGATGTCAACTAATGTTCAAGTCGGTATGTGATTTTAATATTCAATATGATGTCGTTAAGACAAACTAAAAATATTGAAAAGAAAATATCTTTGTATTTTCAAGGATGGTCCACTTTACAAATCCAATTACTTCAGGAAATCGTGGTTGCTGCAAAACGTATGGGTCACTCGGCCTTAGCAACTAGACATATGACCTTCCTGTTGCAGACTATGTGGCCCTATCTGTCAATTAACGATCAGAAAGAATTTGCAATACAGTTACAAGTAATAAGTTTCAAATTTTTATTTTTGCTATCTGATTTCTTTCTAAAACTTATAGTCGTTATCAGCTCAATGTGAAGGATCACCTGTGTCATTAGTTCTCGACAACGGTACAGTGATTCCCCCTGCGAATCTTACAAACATTCCTATTTGTGCGGGTTTTAATTTAAGAAACTTACAACCCCATTTGAGACCTCGAAAAATCCAAGTTCTAAAGCAAGATTCCGGCCCTTTCTTATTTACGCCAATAAACTTCGGTAGTTTGGAACGTAAAAGTGCCAAGGTCCAAAGTAAAATGGGTAATAAAAATAACTCCTTTTAATGACGTTTGATTCATGTTTGGTATAAATCATTTTTAGATTTCTTTTGGATTGAAAACGATCTTTGTGAAGTAACACTAAAATTAGTTAACCCATTACCATTTGAATTAAAAGTATCCAATATGCGTTTACTTACTTCTGGTGTCGTGTTTGAGTCGATACCGGAAACCGTTGTTCTTCCTTCGGATACGCCTACTTTAGTTACACTGAACGGTTCTCCTAAAGAAAGTGGTGAACTTGAGGTATTGGGTTATAGCACACACACGTTGGGGGTGAAGTCAAACTGTAGATTGCGATATATGAAGGGTTTCTTGCCGCAATACACCATCGAAGTGATACCCACCTTACCCACTGTGGAAGTCAAAACTTCATTACCGGAAAGCGCCACGTTTTCCACGTTTCAGAATTTTGAAAATGTCGTTACTTCGGCTAGTTTGAGTCTGTACAACGGCGAAAGTACTCAATGCGTCATCACCATTGCAAATACCAGTCAAGTACCCGTCGAAATGTTGGAGGTATGTATTATCCACATTCTTGAATGTTTTCAAATTATCACCTACAAGAAGATTTTCGTTAGCTATCTATTAAATATTTTCTATTAACGATGTATGAAAAAATATGATTATACCCTAACTGAGAATCATTATCTATTTATTCTTTGATTCCTGGACATCTCATCGTTATTTTTCTTTTAGTTGTAAGACAATTTTTTTCCTTTACTAGCTATCAGGCTTTGAAGCTGACATTTACCTATATAGTTTTACTATTTGTACTTTATTATGAAATCAGTTTTTTATTGCGAGTAGGTGTCTATTCAAAGTGTCCTGGAACCTTCACTTCAAGATCAAATTTTCAAGTGGTCGAACGACGACTTACAAAAGCAGTTACCACTTCTTCCTGGTAACAGTGCAAGTTTAACGATTAACTTGTACTCTGCTGCTAATTTCCTAGCTTCTGGTTTCAATGGACCGGAACTTAGTAGTGGAGTATTTGGAAGTTCACATGCCAGCAGTATAATGTCAGCCTCTGCGGGTCCTAGTTCCTTACCTTCGAGACTAAACTCGCCAGTACACAGTACCATGGGAAATAGTTTTCATGGAAGAAGAAATGACTTAAATTCCAGTTTTCGGTATGATAAATTAAGATCTATGAAAATATTTAATAACAGGGTGTGTTGTATTGATAGATCTTCTAATTCTGGACAGTCCAGTATGACGACAACAGGTTGTCGATCTCCTGGTGCATTGACTCTTCCTCAACATGTTGCATCTGCAGTAGTGGATGCACAGTTGCAACTCCGTTTTAGTGGAGGTTCAGGTTTCCAAGCAGGCTATTGCAGGTCTTGTTCAATTTTCATAACATTAGAAATGATCCCATCGATGCAAGTTACAAATTGGGATGTTCTGCCTGCCGAGACGTAAGTAAATAGACTTTTACACATTTAATGAGGTACTTTATTAATATAATAGCTTACTTAAATAATATTATGATGTGACCTGTTTTGGTTCACTCTGTAAAGGTATTCGCAATTTTATTTGGTTCTGGATGTGGCCAATTTGACTTCACAAGAGATGGAAGTATATTACACACCCAGTAAACATATGCTCATTGAGGGTCACGAAAGTTGTCGGGTACCAGTACCTGTAGATCGTTGTCCGTTGTCAAAATTGACTAAGTTTTACATGGAGCAAAAAAGTGGACTCGATGATCGACTAGATTTGGACAAAATTTGTTCAGAACATATTGCGAACTTGGTTGATTTATCTTGGCATTTGATGTCTACTGATACTAGGGGTAAAGCCTCACTTAAGGGTATCACGTTAACCCCAAACATGCTCGATATTGTACGCATGTCCCCCATACAATGGGGTAAGTCAATCAGAAAAGTTATACATCTAAAAAACATTTTGTTAAGTCTTTATTTTTAATCTATCCGTAGAAGTTTTAATTAACGATGGCTTGATAAAGCCTCAGGAGGAGGTAAATTGTGTCGTTGGAGAATGTTTGGAAATTAAAGTTGGGGTCAGTAATTGCTTTGAGAAACCCCTAAGGCAACTGACTTTGTCAGTTCAATTTTATCAGGATTACCAAAATGGGATGCAAAATTATCAGCTGGAAACTAGACTTGCCTTTACTGGAACAACAAAGTAAGAATTATTTTGCGTAATCGTTATTAACAAATTATACTATCTTCAGAACCATCAGCATATCGAACAATTTCAGTATATTTTTATTAAGAAAATAAAAAAATTAAGAAATAAATAGTCATGAATTACGTTTGCAAAATTCAATAAAATTTATTTCTTATATACAATAATTACCTACTTATAAGAGTTTTGGTAACTTAACAAAGATTTTTTTTATGAAAACAAGTTTATGGCATAAAATTTGGTATTTTTTATATAACTTTGTGTAAAATTACTTGTTCCTCAAAATAGGATTATTTTGCCGCCCTTGGAGCCGCAAGACAAAGCAAAACATGCATGTAATGTTGTATTCTTTAATTCTGGACACTACAAAATGGATATTCAATGTTCTGCTCCAGAATGTTTAGCTTCAACACCGAGTGTTAACACAACAGGTCATATTTGGCGATTCCTGCCAGCAATAGAAGTTAATGTAAATTAAGTATTAATTTTCCTTTACATGTATATGTATTACATAGAGTATTTATTTTTTATTATGTATGTAAGACTGAATAAAATGTGAAAAGATTAATACTATAATGCTTCTTAGTTTATACCTGGTGATCTAATTTAATTGAATAATTGATTGCTAAGTAAAAAATCTGTTAACCTTTTCCTTGAGTGATTCTTTTGGTTGTTTCGTCTTAAACAGTCAGAATAGAAATAGAGTAGCACGCATAATTTCATGGTGCTAACGGTTTTCGAATGCGGTAACAATTAGGTATACTTGCTGGCATTTTTCCTAAAATATATAAAAAAAAGCGCACGTAAAATTACGATTAAATGCAAGCCAACTACTGTAGTATAAAAGGGGATGTTAATGTAAAAAAGTACGTAGAATCTCATGGTGCTAACGGTTTTCGAATGCGGTAACAATTAGGTATACTTGCTGGCATTTTTCCTAAAATATATAAAAAAAAGCGCACGTAAAATTATTGAGAAATAGACGTTAGTTACTGAGCCTTGAGAAGTAATTATTTTGTAAAAATGTACGTACAATATCATAGTGCTAATGGTATTCGAGTGCAGTGTCAAATAGGTACCTACCGGCATTATTCTTGCTAAAAATATGTATAATAATTTACAATTAGACATAAAAAAGCGCTCGCGAAATAATTGAGAGATGAAAAGTGTTTAATAAACTTTGACAAATTATATCTATGTAAAAAAATGCGTATAAACTTATGGTGCCATCGTACCATCCGGCCTATTTTTACTAAAATATTTGAAACAGTTTAAACATAAAAAAGCGCTCGTGAAATTAGTGAGAAGCTTTGAGATATGATTATATAAAAAGTTTCGTATAATTTCATGGTGCCAACGGTTTTCAAGTGCGATGTCAGATAAGTACCTTCCGGTATTATTTTTACTAAAAAGTATATAATAATTTAAACATAAAAATCGTTAAATTATTGGAAGATGGAGGGTATTTACCAATCCTCATCTCAGGCTCTTACTTTTACCCTTTCCTTTCACTTCATATACACATTGAAACTCTTTCGCCACTATGATTTTTTTATATTTTTTACAAAATGGAAATATCATTAAATTTAGTGCTTACACGGGCAACAATTGATCTGTGATAGAGTTTAATTGATACAGTATTGGTATCAAAGATAGTGCTTTTTTTTAGTTAATTTAAATTCATCTATTAAATTGTTACATACTGTATAGGAACAGAAGGTCATAATATGCAACTAATTTCTAAACATCTATATTAAGACCTCTAGTCTGTTTTGTTATATTTTATAAAAATATTTCAGTCATACAGACAGGATAACTTTAGTGATCCTAACAAAGATTTCGGTTTTTTATTTGATGTAGTTGTGACGTAAAAATTCTAAAGAATACAACTTNCGTTGCTTCACTTCCTAAAGTACTGAAGGGTGAAATCTCAGCTTTGTAATGATAGAATACTAACTTCTAAATTTATACGTCACTTCACTTCCTAAAATACTGAGGGGCGAAGTCCCAGCTTTGCAAAGATGGAATTGTAATTTCTAAATTAAACGTTGCTTCACTTCTTAAAGTATTAAAGGCAGTTGATTCCAAGTACATAAATGTTAAACGAGATACCCAGTTGTAAAGTAAAAAGTATCCGAATCCGTTATCCGGAAAAAGTATCCAGAAACGGTACAACTAAAAGCATATGTATCATATATTTTTATATTTGGGCGCTATCGCTGGTATCCTTGTCCAAAATCCGGATACATTTTACCAGCATTCGAACCCAGCTCTAAGAATTTTTTTAAAGGTGAATCCCATTCTATACTCGTTATTCTTTCCATAGTTAATAAACTTACCATTCTTCGTGAAAGCTGATGTTCTAACTTTTACTGAGATATAATTGAAAGACCGTAGTATCGTGTCACATTTTATTTCTCTAGGCAAGACACTCTGATAAGTTGATTAAAAATTTCGCGGCCATGGTCTTTTTTATATACAAATTAAAAATTAAATCTAAAATAACGTAGCCCTTCTCTGGCGATTTCCTGGCGACTAGTTGGAATAGCACCTCCACTTCTTCCTATCTTGAGCCAAAGAGAAAGGGAAACAACTTCACCTCCCCCCACAAGTCAACTAAATCCCCAATTACCAACTAAACTCTAGACTATAGAGAATAGATAAAAGTTCAACAGGTGATTGGGGGAGTATGGGTTTTTATGAGATTGTAATAATAATTGTGTACCTACTATGACATACGAACTAAGATGGATGGAGAGGTCGGCAAGATTGTGCAGAAGCAATTTAAAAAGTGGTTCATTACCATCAATCAACATACAAAATAGTCTGTATCAACTAAACAACTTTAATCCTAAAAATACTGGCGTACTGTTTGATTAATATAATGAAAAGAAGTTAAAATAAATATTTTATTCTTTCGAAACTTGTAAGTAAAGGTTGAACGAAATTCCAAATTACGCTAAATAGCACTACCACTTTGGTAAATATTACTGTATCGGGAGAGACTTTGCTTGTATACCACCTTTTATCTAAGGCTAAATAAAGGGCAATTGTGCCAGCAACAAACGTTCCAATTCCACAAAAAGCGTGAATTAATTTATGAAGACTGGGACTTATAAACCTTAAAAATAAAACAGTAATAAACTTTAAAAGTAGTGTAATAAACAATATTAAAAAGTTTTAAAAACTTTTTAAGGTAGTGTAATAAACAACTTTGCCGTATGTTTGAAAGTTACAGAGAGGGCTGTGTTAGAAATACACTTAGACCTTCGGACTTTCATGTCTTTATTTTTTATATCGTTACAACATTTCGACTTCTCCAGCCGTCATCAAGTAACTAATTGTAAACTTAAAACTACGGGATTTATATTGTGTTGCACCACAAAAAGAAACGAAGAACTGTATACATAAAATTCCATGTGAAAGCGGTCAGTTCTACATCGGGGAAACAAATAGATCGTTGGCAAATCGGATAAAAGAACATTTATCATATAGCAGGAAAGAATAGAATATGGAAACCGCTGTTGAAATTAATTCTGGAACTGCAACCCAATCAACCGAAACGGAACATCACGCCCGAATGGTCAATTAATTATAAAAATCCCGAAGTTTTAAGTTTACAATTAATTACAAAGTCGAAACGTTGTATTTCTAACTTTGTACGTACTTATCACTTATTATTTAAATACTGATGGAAATGCTGTATCAGTTAAAAATGGGCTTATTAAAGTTATTTTTGTACAAAATAGTTTGAAAATAAAAAGGAATTACTTCATTAACGGTAAGTAAACATAAGCTGCATATTAGAATCATTTTAATCATTTTAATGAATAATTTTTCTATTATTAATGTGAAAATTCATTTTTAATTTTTATCTACTATAAATTTCCTCAAATTAATGAGGAAAAATTGTTGCTTCTGTCACATCCTCGCCGGGAATGGAACCCTCGACCTTTTGCTTTACGCACTAGAGCGTTGGTGTGTTACAGGCAAATAATGAGGATATCGTGGATAGAGAAGGTTACAAATGAGGAGGTATTGGAAAGAAGAGGAGAACAGATGTCACTATGGAAGTCAGTAAGAAATAGAAGGGCACATATTAGAAGCAGAAATAGGAGTTAAGAGGAGTAAAAGTAGATAGAGTTAGGATACTGTTCACAAATAGTTAAGGATGTGAGATGTTCTAGTTTTAGGAAAATGCGAAGATTAGCTCAGGATAGGAAAAAGTGGGGGTGCGTGTCCAATCAGTCTTAGGGCTGACAATCTTATGATGATGATAAGTGTAATAAATAAAGAAATTAACAAACCTTTTAAATTGAACAGCAAACAGCGCTGAAAATCCATTAACAAATGTTGGAAGTGTAAGTATTAGAGAAGCTAGTCCAGCTTTTGAATGATGCGAATAAAAATGCACTGAGCGCTCTTTGAACAACCAAAAGAATCCGTATAAACAAAAACCTGCGCTCATTACCTGAGCTACTAGGTGTATGATAGTTTTACTATTGTGGGAAACATATTTGGTGATGACATTATGAGGAGATATTGCTATTATGCCCTCCAACATCAATAGCATCCACTACAAAACATAAAAAATATTTTTACAAAAAAGTACTTAAACGTTGCAGTACGTTACTATTGGCATACTTACTTACCTATTAATTAAATAATTTTAAAAAATGCCCTAAAGCATGTAAAATATACTTGCTTAAAAGTATTTAAATACAAATACAAATAAGTAGGTACTTAGCTTGTGATTTTCTATCGGAAAATATATTTACATTATTATAACTGTTATAACAACTTTCTGAACAATTTATACATAATCATAAATTTTCGTTAAGCTGAATTGTTAAAAAAATGTTATAACAAAAATTTGAAACAGTATTTGCAAAATCAAATAAAATAAAGAAATATTTGTATTTAAATACAAATCATAAGCGCTTTCTACTAATAAAAAAATATGACACCTTTTCTATTATCTTCTCCTAGACGTTACAACAATAAAATTGCGGGTACGAATTACTACGTTTTTTAAGTCCTTTTCACCTATTTTCGGGGAAAAATAAAATTACGTGTCGGAAGTGTTAGTACACTTAGAAAAAAAAAAATTTACGTCTTAATATGAGATGTGATTAAAACAAATAATAATTCTAATACTTTAACGTGAAATCGAAAAATACTTTTAAATTTAAAAATAGTAATGTGATTGATTTCAAATAGAAATAAACAGATATGTAATTACATTACATACATTATTAAATACAATTCTTATTGAGCTATTAACAGTATATTGTAGGATTAAAAAATTCACTTAATGAATTTTATAAGAGATGTAATTGAATTATCACTAAAGTTAGGTAAGGAAAAAATCTATTTACAATGATATTGTTTTTTTTTTAATTCTACAATGATTTTTTTCTGAGGATACCGTTGTTTTTTTTTATTGACGTTTATATTCACAGATTGTTGGCCAAAATAAAATTCAACTCGTTATTTCATCTGTTTACTTAAAAACGTATTTAATGAGATGATAATAAGGTGCGATAATCCCACAGCGCGAGAATACAGGTCGCACTTGGCACTTTTTTTGTAACATTTCTTTGTTAATCGATTAGTAGAGTTTGAATTTCAATTTAACTTTATTTGACATAGATTTATCACCAATTTAGATAAGTTTAATTAGGTATAACAGTCAATCAGACATTCAAAGTATGGTAGCTTATCAGACGATAAATACGTAAATATGTATAATCACATCTGAAATTATCGGGTTGTTCGGAAAGTCATTTCGTTTTTTCCCGACACAGGATTTAATTGTATTCTTTTGCACCCAAATTCACATTGGTCAAAAACCTCCTCGATCAGTTTTTTGCCAACAAAGACCAAAAATTTTATGAGCGTGGAATTATGCTACTACCAGAAAGATGGCAAAAGGTGTTGGACCAGAACGGTCAATATATAATTTAATAATGATTTGTTTATTATACGAAAACTGTCCTTCATTTNTTGACTTAAAGACATTACAAGTATATATTTTCATTTTTGAATTAAATTAAAGTGTAAACCTTTTCGAATGAATCTTAACAGTGAATTTCTTTTATTGAGAAACCAAATGGGGCAAAATATTTAGTTCATAAAGTACTAGTTTTTGCAAAATTTGAATTGAATTCAACCCCCACACATAACAAATCCTCCGGAAAGGAAACAACAAGAAGTATGCTTTTATCTTATTTGGAAAAAGAAAGTTCAAATTTTAGGTATTCTATTTTCCAATTAATATATTCCTCAAAATGGACACTACTTCCGAAAATATTCCTATTATCTATTACAAATGGAGTGTTAGTAGAATTTGAACGAAAATTACGGTACAATTTGATAATTTTTGAAAAATTCGCAACACTAGCAATATAGAAGAAAAAATCGAATTTAAGATAACGAAGATGCAGGGTGGTGAGACGGGTTACCGTCTTCACCCACCCTATGTTAATTTCCCCATTTATTCGTTCCTCAATTATCTAATAAGGTATGTTAAGATTATTATTGTACTATTAGGTTATTAATTAACTAAAGTTGAATTGTTGACTAGTCATTCAAAATTATATATAATCCGCTTTCAATTTTAAATTAGAGTAGTTATATCTCATCTCTAAATATATAAAATTCGTTGCTGTATAACATGGTGGAGTAGTTATGTCTTATATCTCAAAATATTATATATACGAGGGCGGTTCAATAAGTACCCGTGTTTGAAGACAGAGGACGTTCCTGAGGGAAATTGGTGTTGTCATCGTGTGCTGCCATCTATCAAGCCACGTCAAAACGAATTTCAGACTGATTGATAGGTTAGTTTGGATTTGGGAACCATTCCACTCAGACGTGTTTCGTTATTTTCGCTAAGATGGAAAAAGAGCAGTATCGTTCGGTAACTCGCTTTTTGTTTTTGGATGGGAAAAAATGCGAGGAGATGAAAACAAAGTTGGATACTGTTTATGGAGACATTTCGCCATCTACGACCACAGTTAGATATTGCTTCAACGAATTTAAACGTGGGCAA